AGGTGCCGCATTGTCCTTGGTAGACTGGATTTGGGGGACAACAAGTGGGTCTCCTTTGTCCCGCAAATGATGGAATACCTGTAGTTTCATAATCTTGGAGATAGGACTCAAGTCCAAACATGAAATCAATGTAGGTTTCAAATATACACAGAGGATATTATATACAACACTAGCTGTTCCCTGCCATGCGTTGCTGTGGTCCAGTCTGTTGATCTGGAAAATAAAGTAATGAGAAATTGTTGGTTTCTAATAGTATGTAATTTCTTTATGCTTGTGGGTAAATAGTATTTCTTGCTGTTTCTTTGTCAGCGTTGATGTGGAGAGTGTCTGGTTTGCCTACTCTAGAATATGCAACATATCATTGTCTTTCTGATCTTTTTTTGATAGAGTTTCAAGCTGGATAGATGCGGGGAATGCCGTGGATGTAGCATACCTGGATTTCAGTAAGGCCTTCGACAAGGTCCCCCATGACCTTCTGGCAAGGAAACTAGTCCAATGTGGGCTAGGCAAAACTACGGTGAGGTGGATCAGGAATTGGTTAAATGGACGAACCCAGAGGGTGCTCACCAATGCTTCCTCTTCATGCTGGAAAGAAGTGTCAAGTGGAGTGCCGCAGGGTTCCGTCCTGGGCCCGGTCCTGTTCAACATCTTTATTAATGACTTAGATGAAGGGCTAGAAGGCATGATCATCAAGTTTGCAGACACCAAATTGGGAGGGATAGCCAATAGTCCAGAGGACAGGAGCAGAATTCAAAACGATCTTGACAGATTAGAGAGATGGGTCAAACTAACAAAATGAAGTTCAACAGTGACAAATGCAAGATACTCCACTTTGGCAGGAAAAACGAAATTCAAAGATACAGAATGGGGGACAATGCCTGGCTCGAGAGCAGTACGTGTGAAAAAGATCCTCATGGACTTTGTCCTCATGGACAACAAGTTAAACATGAGCCAACAATGTCATGTGGCGGCAAAAGAAGCCAATGGGATTTTGGCCTGCATCAATAGGAGCATAATGTCTAGATCTAGGGAAGTCATGCTACCCCTCTATTCTGCCTTGGTTAGACCACACCTGGAATATTGTGTCCATTTCTGGGCACCACAATTGAAGAGAGATATTGACAAGCTGTCTTGCGGCAACACCAAAGGCACTAAAATGATCAAGGGTCTGGAGAACAAGCCCTATGAGGAGCAGCTTAAGGAGCTGGGCATATTTAGCCTGAAGAAGAGAAGGCTGAGAGGAGATATGATAGTCATGTATAAATATGTGAGAGGAAGCCACAGGGAGGAGGGAGCAAGCTTGTTTTCTGCTTCCCCGGAGACTAGGACGCGGAACAATGGCTTCAAACTACAAGAAAGGAGATTCCATCTGAACATGAGGAAGAACTTCCTGACTGTGAGAGCCGTTCAGCAGTGGAACTCTCTGCCCCGGAGTGTGGTGGAGGCTCCTTCTTTGGAAGCTTTTAAACAGAGGCTGGATGGCCATCTGTCAGGGGTGATTTGAATGCAATATTCCTGCTTTTTGGCAGGGGGTTGGACTGGATGGCCCATGAGGTCTCTTCCAACTCTTTGATTCTATGATTCTTTAGGGGTCACTTTCAAATCTATGATACTATATCTGTGTGTGTGTGAATCAAATCTATCTATCTATCTATCCTATCTATCTATATCTATGGCTGGATGGCTCTTTGTCAGGAGGACTTTGATTACGTTTCTTGCCCTGATGAAGGGAGTTGGTTTGGATGGCCTTAAGTATTTTCTTTTGGTCATGGGGGTTCTGTGTGGGAAGTTTGTCCCGATTCAGAATGCCCTTTAATTATAGGTGAACTATAAATCCCAGCAACTACAACTCCCAAATGACAAAATCATAATTTTTGAGTGATGGTCACTCCTTGTGTTGTGAGACGTTTTGTTGCCAACTTTGGTGTGATTTCGTTCATTGGTTCTTTTATTTTTAAGGTACTTATTATGCACAGAGCATTTTATATATATACTAGCGGTCCCCTGCCACACGTTGCTGTGGCCCAGTCTGCTTATCTGGAAAATAACATAATGAGAAAGTGCTGGCTTCTAATATATGTAATTTCTTTATGCTTGTGGGTAACCAGTATTTCTTGCTGTTTCTTTGTCAGTGTTGATGTGGAGATTGTCTGGTTTACCTCCTCTGGAACAGGCAACATATCATTGTCCTTCTTTAGGGGTCCCTTTCAAATCTGTGATACTGCATCTGTCATATACATATGTGTGTGTGTGTGTGAATGGCTGGATGGCCCTTTGTCAGGAGGGCTTTGATTATGTTTTCTTGCCCTGGTGAAGGGAGTTGGACTGGATGGCCTTAAGGCAGCATTTCTCAATCTGGGAAGTCAAGACCCGGAGGGGGGGTCACCAAGGGGGTGTCAGAAGGGTCACCAAAGACCACCGGAAAATACAGTATTTTCTGTTGGTCATGGGGATTCTGTGTGGGATGTCTGGCCCAATTCCATTGTTGGTGGGGTTTGGAATACTCCTTGATTGTAGGTGAAGTATAAATCCCAGTAAGTTCAACTCCTAAATGTCAAGGTCTATGTCCCCCAAACTCCATCTGTGTTCATATTTGGTGTATTGAATACTTGTGCCAAGTTTGGTCCAGATCCATCATTGTTTGAGTCCACAGTGCTCTCAGGATGTAGGTGAACTACAACTCCCAAACTCAAGGTCAATGCCCACCAAACCCTTCTATTTTTCTGTTGGTCATGGGAGTTCTGTGTGCCAATTTTGGTTGAATTCCATTGTTGGTGGAGTTCAGAATATTCTTTGATTCTAGGTGAACTATAAATCCCAGCAACTACAACTCCCAAATGTCAAGGTCTATTTCCCCCAAAGTCCACCAGTATTACATTTGGGCATATTGAGTATTTGTGACCAGTTTGGTCCACATCCATCATTGTTTGAATCTATAGTGCTCTCTGGATGTAGGTGAACTACAACTCCCAAACTCAAGGTCAATGCTCACCAAACCCTTCCAGTATTTTCTGTTGGTCATGGGAGTTCTGTGTGCCAAGTTTGGTTCAATTCCATTGTTGGTGGAGTTCAGAATGTTCCTTGATTGTAGGTGAACTACAAATCCCAGCAACACAAATCCCATGGCCATGCAGTCCTGCCAGTAGCCACGTGACCTTGAAGATGTCTACGGACAATGCCGGCTTTTTGGCTTAGAAATGGAAGCAAGCACCAGAGTCGGACATAAGTCTATTCAGATTTGCATGCTTTTAAACTGCTAGGTTGGCAGAAGCTGGGACTAACAGCGGGAGCTCACCCCGCCTCCGGATTCAAACCGCTGACCTTTCAGTCAGCAAGTTCAGCAGCTCAGCAGTTTAACCTGCTCATATACATCACCTTTTGGTACTGCTCCATTATCCGAGCAGAGACCACTAGGGGGAGCTAGAGAGGGTCCATTTTACAAAGGGGGGTACAGCAACATCGTGGAGGGCCACCTCACCAAGCAACAGCCAATCCGATGACATCACGGAGGGCCACTGCACCTAGTAACCGTCCCTTCCTTCCCTTCTTCTCACAGGCGCAACCTTCCAGAGACACCGCGGAGGACACTTCACCTAGCAACAGCTCCTCCTGTCTTTTCTCCTCGTTCACGTGTCCCTTTCCTAGTGACACCCCCGAGGGCCACTTCACCCAGGAACAACTAGTCCCGTGACATCTCAGAGGGCCACTCCACCTAACAACAGCCAATCCAGAGACACCGCGGGGGACACTCCACCTAGCAACAGCTCCTCTTGCCTTTTCTCCTCGTTCATGCGTCCCTTTCCTAGTGACACCCCCGAGGGCCACTTCACCCAGGAACAGCTAGTCCTGTGACATCTCAGAGGGCCACTCCACCTAACAACAGCCACTCCGGTGACATCACGGAGGGCCACTGCACCTAACAACAGCCACTCCGGTGACATCACGGAGGGCCACTGCACCTAGTAGCCATCCCTTCCTTCCCTTCTTCTCACAGGCGCCACCTTCCTTTCCTAGTGACACCCTAGAGGGTCACTCCACCCAGCAACAGGCAATCCAGAGACACCGCGGGTGGTGACACTTCACCTAGCAACAGCTCCTCTTGCTTATTCTCCTTGTTAACACGTCATTTTCCTAGTGACACCCCTGAGGGCAACTTCACCCAGGAACAGCTACTCCCGTGACATCTCAGAGGGCCACTCCACCTAGCAACGGACGTTTTTGTTGGGACGGATAGAGACAGGCACGCATTGGGTTCTGCAGATGCAGGTAGATTTGTCTTGCTTAGAATCATAGAATCAAAGAGTTGGAAGAGACCTCATGGGCCATCCAGTCCAACCCCCTCCTAAGAAGCAGGAATATTGCATTCAAAGCACCCCTGACAGATGGCCATCCAGCCTCTGTTTAAAAGCTTCCAAAGAAGGAGCCTCCACCACACTCTGGGGCAGAGAGTTCCACTGCTGAACGGCTCTCACAGTCAGGAAGTTCTTCCTCATGTTCAGATGGAATCTCCTCTCTTGTAGTTTGAAGCCATTGTTCCGCATCCTAGTCTCCAAGGAAGCAGAAAACAAGCTTGCTCCCTCCTCCTACCTGTGGCTTCCTCTCACATATTTATACATGGCTATCACATCTCCTCTCAGCCTTCTCTTCTTCAGGCTAAACATGCCCAGCTCCTTAAGCCGCTCCTCATAGGGCTTGTTCTCCAGACCCTTGATAATTTTAGTCGCCCTCCTCTGGACACATTCCAGCTTGGCAATATCTCTCTTCAATTGTGGGGCCCAGAATTGGACACAATATTCCAGGTTTGATCTAATCAAGGCAGAAGAGAGGGGGAGCATGACTTCCCTAGATCTAGACACTATGCTCCTATTGATGCAGGCCAAAATCCCATTGGCTTTTTTTGCCGCCACATCCCATTGTTGGCTCATGTTTAACTTCCCAGAATGCACCACCGCTCTCTTCCTCCCTCCTCCCTCCCTCTTTCCCGGATCTCGCGAGATCTCCCGAGATTTGGGCGGGGGCTGCGGGGCCGAGGCCGGAAGCGAGAGAGGACAGTGCCATGGCGGAGGCAGACTCCAAGACCGTGCAGGAACTCACCGCTGTGGTGAGAAGGGGGAGGGGGTCTCGGGGTTGCCATGGGGACGGGACGGGCAGGCCGAGTGGGAGGGAGGGAGGGCGGGGGCGGGGCCACCTGGTCGCCACGGAGACTTGGTTGCTATGGAGACACAGGCAGGAACGGAGGCCTCTGGTAGTTTGGGAGTATGTAGGCCTCTTGGGATCCCTATCTATCTATCTATCTATCTATCTATCTATCTATCTATCTATCTATCTATCTATCTATCTATCTATCTATGGATATATCTGGGTTGCTGTGAGTTTTCCAGCTGTCTGGCCATGTTTCAGAAGCATTCTTTCCTGACGTTTCACCTGTATCTGTGGTGAAACAAATGATGGACCTGGACCAAACTTGGTATACAGACCCCCCCTATGACCCACCTCATGTTCTGGTGAAGTTTGGGGGAACACAGACCATGGATGATGGGATTTGCAATCCCTCAAGTCACATCAAGAGACTACCGAGAATCCCATCAGCCATGGATCTATCTGCACAAATTCCTAATGGGTCCATTGATAACATCCAAAAACAAACAACACCTTGTATTAGGTCAAAGGCTTTGATGGCTGGAATCACTGGGTTGCTGTGAGTTTTCCAGCTGTCTGGCCATGTTTCAGAAGCATTCTTTCATGACGTTTCACCTGCATCTATGGCAAGCATCATCAGAGGTTGTGTCATAGATGAAAGTGAAATGTCAGGAGATAATGCTCCTGGAATATGGCCACACAGCCTGAAAAACTTATAGCAACCCAAACAACGCCCTTTTCAAACAGGCCAGGCATCGCTGGGTTCCCAAGTTGGTCTATAGATATAGATCAGGCCTGGGCCAAGTTGGGCTTGGGGGCTTCTGGGAAATGTAACAGGCTGATAGGAATTGTGGGAGTTGGAGTCCAAAACACATGGAGGGAGGGCCCAGGCCTGGTACAGAGAGATATATCCATTTATTGTCGAAGGCTTTCATGGCCGGAATCACTGGGTTGTTGTAGGTTTTTTCGGGCTATAAGGACATGTTCTAGAGGCATTCTCTCCTGACGTTTCGCCTGCATCTATGGCAAGCATCCTCAGAGGTAGTGAGGTCTGTTGGAACTAGGAAAATGGGTTTATATATCTGTGGAATGACCAGGGTGAGACAAAGGACTCTTGTCTGCTGGAGCTAGGTGTGAATGTTTCAACTGATAACCTTGATTAGCATTTGATTGCCTGGCAGTGCCTGGAGCAAATTTTTGTTGAGAGGTGATTAGATGTCAAGGAAACCACTGACTGCATAGGGAAGCTGATGAGGAAACACAACATACAAACTATCTACAGACCCACCAAGAAAATCCAACAAATGCTACGTTCAGCAAAGGACAAGAGGGATCCTCTCACTTCTGCAGGAGTCTACCGTATACCATGCAGCTGTGGACAAGTCTACATAGGAACCACCAAACATGAGTCAAGGAACATGAAAGGCACTGCACACTACTTCAACCAGAGAAATCAGCCATAGCAGAGCACCTGATGAACCAACCTGGACACAGCATATTATTTGAGAACACAGAAATGCTGGACTACTCTCACAACCACCATGTCAGACTACACAGAGAAGCCATTGAAATCCACAAGCATGTGGACAATTTCAACAGAAAGGAGGAAACCATGAAAATGAACAAAATCTGGCTACCAGTATTAAAAAACTCTAAAATTACAACAGCAAAACAACAGAGAGCAAACAATCAGGCACATCTAATCACCTCTCAACAAAAGATTGCTCCAGGCACTGCCAGGCAATCAAATGCTAATCAAGGTGGTCAGTTGAAACATTCACACCTAGCTCCAGCAGACAAGAGTCCTTTGTCTCATCCTGGTTGTTCCACAGATGTTTTCCTAGTTCCAACAGACCTCACTACCTCTGAGGATGCTTTCCATAGATGCAGGCGAAACGTCAGGAGAGAATGCCTCTAGAACATGTCCTTATAGCCCGAAAAAACCTACAACAACCCAGTGATTCCGGCCATGAAAGCCTTCGACAATAAATGGATATATCTCTCTGTACCAGGCCTGGGCCCTCCCTCCATGTGTTTTGGACTCCAACTCCCACAATTCCTATCAGCCTGTTACATTTCCCAGAAGCCCCCAAGCCCAACTTGGCCCAGGCCTGATCTATATCTATAGACCAACTTGGGAACCCAGCGATGCCTGGGCTGTTTGAAAAGGGCGTTGTTTGGGTTGCTATAAGTTTTTCAGGCTGTGTGGCCATATTCCAGGAGCATTATCTCCTGACATTTCACTTTCATCTATGACACAACCTCTGAGGATGCCTGCCATAGATGCAGGTGAAACGTTAGGAAAGAATGCTTCTGAAACATAGCCAGACAGCCTGGAAAACTCACAGCAACCCAGTGATTCCAGCCATCAAAGCCTTTGACCTAATACAAGGTGTTGTTTGTTTTTGGATGTTATCAATGGACCCATTAGGAATTTGTGCAGATAGATCCATGGCTGATGGGATTCTCGGTAGTCTCTTGATGTGACTTGAGGGATTGCAAATCCCATCATCCATGGTCTGTGTTCCCCCAAATTTCACCAGAACATGAGGTGGGTCATAGGGGGGGTCTGTATACCAAGTTTGGTCCAGGTCCATCATTTGTGGCAGTCGCAGTGGTCTTGTAAGAGACTACTAATCCTATTATCCATAGTCCACCCTCCCCAAACCTAAAGTGGGCCATGGGGTGTCTGTGTCCCAAGTTTGGTCCAGGTCCATCATTGGTCGCAGAAGTCTCTGAAAGTGGGTGAAGATACTGCAAATCCCATCATCCATGGTCTGGCTTTTCCCAAACCTCACCAGGATGTGAGATGGGCCATGGAGGGTCTGTGCAACAAGTTTGGTCCATGTCTATCATTTGTGACAGTCGCAGTGGTCTTGTAAGAGAGTTACAGGACTACAAATCCTATTTTCCGTAGTCCACCTTCCCCCAAACCCGACCAGGACGTAAAGTGGGTCATAGGGTTCAGCCTCCCAAGCTTGGTTCATATCCATTGTTGGTGAGAGTTACAGTGCTGTCTGAAAGTTGGGCTCATCTTGGAAAATAGACATACAAAAACTGACTTTGAATATAAAGATAGATACGTATATTTGTGTGGGAACCATTAATTCTATGATGGTGAAACTGAGGAATGCATAAGTTAATTCCTGCAGTTAATGAGCTCACGGTTAGTTTTCAACCCAAAATGTCTTTTGTTGTTGAATCTTATCAGTTTTCCCGCACCCTCATAGGTAAAATATGCATAACAGAGTAAGCTAAGTTGGATCCTAGTGGACTGAAGCCATTCTCATGCAAAATAAAACTTTTGCTTGTGTGTGTGTTTGTTTGTTTGTTTATCATCAGGTGCAGACGCTGCTGCAACAAATGCAGGACAAATTCCAGACCATGTCGGACCAGATCATTGGCCGCAATATCCTTTGAAACGACAGTCCATGCGCTTCCTTTCCTACATGGGAAAGACCTTCTTCCCTTTAACTCGGGCATGGGCAAAGTTTGGCCCTCTTAGTGTTTTGGACTTCAATTCCCACAATTCCTAGCAACCTCAGGCTCTAGCAGCTGAGCGGGGAAAGAAAAGGGCCTGAGGCTGTTAGGCATTATTATTATTATTATTATTATTATTATTATTATTATTATTATTATCATCTTTATTTGTACCCCGCTAACATCTCCCGAAGGACTTGATGCGGCTTACAAAGGCCGAGGCCTCAATAAAACAACAAATACACATAAACCATAAAGCAAAAAAAAAACATTAAAGCAATAACAGTAAACAGTAAAAACAGTACACCATAGCACAACAAAACTAAGGCCGGGCCAAGTGTAATGGGTACAGATTAAAAAGTGCTGAGTATGYCAAGTGAAATATAAGGATTTTTGGGTAAGTGCAGTGTGCGGACAACCTTAAATCTCTAATAAAGTGCTTCTGGGACGTATTGCTGGAGTTTCCTATTCTGGAAAGGCACACCGGAATAGCCAGGTCTTCAAGCTCTTCCTAAAGACTGCCAACGTAGGGGCTTGTCTGATGTCCTTGGGGAGGGTGTTCCAAAGTCGGGGGCTACCACAGAGAAGGCCCTGTCCCTCGTCCCCACCAACCGCGCTTGCGACGCAGGTGGGATCGTGAGCAGGGTCTCTCCAGATGAACGAAGGGAGCGTGCGGGTTCATAAACGGGGATGCGGTCTCGCAGGTAGGCTGGTCCCAAACRGTTTAGGGCTTTGTAGGTGTGGGAGTTGAAATCCAAAACACCTGGAGGGCCCAAGTTTGTCATATCTGCCCTATGTTCTCAAAAGCGGCTGGGGAAGAGCTTCATTTGTTGTTATGTTGGGAAGGGGTTTGAGTCGCTCTCATCCAGCCGTGTAGTAAGCAATCCTAAGGAACATAATGCAGAATGCTGGGAGATGCAGATGGCCTGAAAAGCCATGTAATTTCCAAAATCCAATTTAGATCGTTATGGTTTTTAAACATACGCAGTGCTTCGGAAGCTCACGCATGCAGCAACCCAGAAGAGTTAGTATTATTATCCATAACTGGGAAGTTGGTTGCTGTGACTCAGCCACATCTATAAGGAAAATGAGTAGGGCCAGATTTTGAGAGGGTCAAGCCTATGAAATTGCATGGGGGCAAGACAAGGCTACTATTAGGTGGATATGGAATTGTTTGAGCGATGGAACCAAAAGGGTGCTTCTCCCTAATGGTTCCTCTTCTTCATCCTGGAAAGAAGAGACCAGGGAACACCGCAAGGTTCAGTCCTGGGCCCAGTTCTGTTCAACATCTTTATTAATGACTTGGCTGAAGGTTTAGAGGGCATGTTCTTATCAAATTTGGGACCAAATTGGGAAGGAGAGCTGATATTCCAGAGGACAGGATCAGTTGAACATGAGCCGAGAGTGTGATGCAGCAGCTCATAAAGCCGGTGGGATTCTAGGCTGCAGTCACAAGTGTCCAGATTGAGGGAAGGCATGGTGCCTCTCTATTCTGCTTTGGTCAGGCCTCTTCACCTCGAATCACACTATGTCCAATTCTGGGCCTCACAGTTCAAAAGAGACTCTTAATCTTGAAGAAAGTGTCCAGAGGAAGAGGGAGACTGAAAGGGTCAAAGGTCTGGAGACCATGAATAATCCCTATGAATAACTGGATCTGTTTAGCCTCAGGAGGGAGGGTTGAGAGGAGACATGAGAGCCATGTATGAATAAGGAAGAGTGAGAGACTTGTTTTCTGCTTCCCTGGAGACTAGGACTCAATTGAGCCATGGGTTCAAATGACAGGAAAAGAAAGGAGAGTCAATTGAACTTTAGGAAGAACTTCCTGACTATGTTGACAAGCTGGAATGTGTCCAGAAGCGGGCGACTAAAATAATCAAGTGTCTGGAGAACAAGCCCTATGAGGAGCGGCTTAAGGAGCTGGGCATGTTTAGCCTGAAGAAGAGAAGGCTGAGAGGAGATAAGATAGCCATGTATAACTATGTGAGAGGAAGTCACAGGGAAGAGGGAGCAAGCTTGTTTTCTGCTTCCCTGGAGACTAGGACGCGGAACAAGGGCTTTAAACTACAAGAAGGGAGATTCCATCTGAACATGAGGAAGAACTTCCTGATTGTGAGACGCGTTCAGCAGTGGAACTCTCTGCCCCGGAGTGTGGTGGAGGCTCCTTCTTTGGAGGTTTTTAAACAGAGGCTAGATGGCCATCTGTCAGGGGTGATTTGAATGCAGTATTCCTGCTTCTTGGCACGGGGTTGGACTGGATGGCCCATGAGGTCTCTTCCAACTCTATGATTCTATAAGAAGTTCAGCAGTGGAACTCTCTGCCTCAGAGTCCCGTGGAAGCTCCTTCCTTGGAAGCTTTTAAACAGAGGATGAATGGCTATCTGCCAGAGGTGCTTTGATTGTGCTTTTCCTGCATAGCAGATTGGGATTGTACTAGGTGGCCCACGTGGTCACTTCCAACTTCTATTATTCTATGATTCTGTTGTTCTGTTAATACCTTTAACTCTGAGCCACTTGACGACATGAGCTGCCGCATTGACGACCTGGAGAAAAACATTGCCGATCTCATGACCCAGGCCGGAGTGGAGGAACTGGAAGGGGAGAACAAGGCGGCTCCGGCCAAGAATTCAAGTGAGGATGTTAAATGAGGCAGTGTCCGCCGGCCCGAAGGGGCAGGACTGTGAGTTGTGAGCTGGGGCTACCCCTTGGGGGGGGGGGGGGGGTCTCATGGCATGGGGGGGGGGGGGTTGCATTGCACATCCACTGTGGGGGATGTGCCTGGTGAAGGTTGAGGCGGGGGGGGGGGGGGGGATGCTGCATTTGTTTCCCTTTCCTTTTTCCTCTATTGTGAATGCTCAGTAAGGAATAATACGATCAGTTGGACCAGGCAGGGTAAATCCTGCTCTTTTTCCTGTACAAAACTTTACTGCTTTGGGATGTTACGTGATTTCTGGGCTGTATGGCAAACGTGTGCTAGCAGCATTTTCTCCTGATGTTTTGCCTGCATCAGTGGCTACTGGAACTTTTATTGCTTTGTTTGCCATAAATACTTCTATGTGGCTCAACATTAAAAGTTTGTATTTGTCTAGCCCTCCATTATTCTTCCAAAACAGATGCTGATAGATGGATAGAAAGTTAGATAGATAGATAGATAGATAGATAGATAGATAGATAGATAGATAGAGAGATAGATAGATAGATAGATAGATAGATAGATAGAATAAGAAAGCAAGTCCTCGTAGGCATTAGTATCCTTTGAGAAAATATAATAGAACTTTATGTCTAAACCCCCCAAAGTACTGTATATTCTGGTGTATAAGACTACTTTTTAACCCAAGAAAATCTTCTCAAAAGTCAGGGGTCGTCTTATACGCTGGAGTAGTCTTATACACGGGAGTCGTCTTATAGAGCGGGTGCTGAAACTTCAAATCGGATTGGAGAATCTGTGGTTGCTGCATATGGTGGGGGAAGCTCAAAAATGGCAATGGCCGTGTACCTGCCATATGCAGCGACTGTATGAAAGCATTAAGGACGGCGCTGTACAAGTATGGTAGAAGAAAATCCATTCATCGGGATTTGTGGACTTAATGCGGTCCCGATGGTGAGGTGAAGGGGCGCCTCACCGAGAAAGTGTAAGTGAAGGCCGGAGCAAGCTGCAGGCTTCTGGGGCGCCTGGCGTATGGAAAAAAGAGATAGAGTGGCTCTGGGCCCAGAAAAACACACCTCTTTTACCTGTCAGGCCTGCCCTTGTATCCTATTACCATACCACCTCCTCTGCCTCTCAGATCTCGCTCCTGAAGACTGCAATGAAGTGGTGCAGGTGCGCATGTGCAAGATCTGAGAGGCAGAGGAGGTACAGTAATAGGAAAATTACCATATTGAACTCAAATCTGATGCTTTTTAAATTTTTATTTGGTGTGCATTGGAAGAGGGGTAGCCTTATACGGTGAGTATATCCCAAACTCTATATTTTAACTGGAAAAATTGGGGGTCGTCTTATACACCCAGTCTTATATGCCGGAATATATGGTAAAAAAATGGTAAACCTTCAATGGCAGTGCAAAAGGAACTTCTTTCTCAGATGTTATGTTTACTAAAGTTGCCCTGGAAATTACTGCTGCCTTGGAGACTAGGACTCAGTGGAGCCATGGGTTCAAACTACAGGAAAGAAAGATTCCATCTGAACATTAGGAAGAACTTCCTAACTGAGAGAAAGCTGTTAAGCAGTGGAACAAAGGCTGGATGGCCGTCTGTCAGGGGGGCTTTGATTGTGCTTGTCCTGCATAGCAGAAGGGGGTTGGACTGGATGATATATGTGGACTTTGCCATGATTTTCAGCTAAACGTGAGGGTTTGGGGGTATTTCCTCCGAAGTATTTTACTTGCAATCAATTTATGAAGACAGTCCCTGCGTCAGAATGAGAAAAATGAGAAAAAACATGGAGAGGAATAAGAGGAAAAAAATGTTTAAGCTGGGCTGGTAGACCAGCTTGGCTTTCCATCTTTGTCCTTATGCCTGTTGAAATGGTCCCTTCTCATTCCTAAATCTGTTTTGTGTATTTTCTTTCCACAGCTTGCAATAATAATCTATGATGGGTGCTGGAAATGAATGTTTTTACAAGCCTACAGGGATTTCCAGATGATGGCTAGTGTGTTGAAGCATTTTTCTACGGCTGTAGAAACCGCATTCTTGATGTACCTTGTCTCACTACAATTTCTATCCTGATTTCTTGTGTATTGTGAGTTTAACACAGTTTTGAAAATTATCGCATTCTGGTTATTTTAAAAAAGAAAGAGCCTGGTGGAGTTCAGCCAAAAGTACGGACGAGTGGATTTTAGTCATGTTGTCCTTTTACACAAGCATGCAAAATAACTGTGTTGTGAATACGTAGCTGTTTTTACAAAAGTGTCACAGAACTAAAATAGTCGAAAGCCATGTCTCTCTTTTGACCTCCCCCATGCTGTTTTACTCTGAAGGCCAACAACTAATGGATCACAAAAGTAAACACTGATTTTTTGAAATATATATTGTTCTATAACAGGCATGGGCAAACTTTGGCCCTCTTTCCGGTTGTTTTGGACCAACTCCCAGAATTCCTGGCCTCAGGCTTAAGCGACTGAGGCCAGCTTAAGTGACTGAGGGGGAAAAGGAAAGGGCCTGAGGTCAGGAATTGTGGGAGTTGAAGTTTAAATATCCGGAAGGAGGGCCAAAGTTAGCCCATGCCTGTTCTATAGAGTCTGCTTTATTTTAGGATGTACGGATTTGGGTAACAGAGACCTGAGAGGAGAGAGAAAAAGAGCAGGGCTTCCTCAAATGGAGCCATTGCAGGTGTCACAACCTTTATCCGAAATGACCTGAAATTGCCCTTATTTTGTGGATGAGAGAGTGACGCTTTTGCTTTCTGATGGTTCAGGTTTTGTTTGATGCACAAATTATTTTAAAACATTGTATATGACTTTCAAGCTGTGTGTATGAAACATAAATGAATTTGTTTAGACTTTGGTTCTATCTCCAAGACATCTCATTATGCATGTGCAAATATTTCCAAATCGGGGGGTGGGAAATTTCCAGGACTCCTGATCCCAAGCATTTCGGAGAAAGGGCACTCCACCTGCAATAGGACTACAGTTGTTGCTCTTCCACTTTTTCAACCTATATTGGGATAGACATACTAGGAAGGACAGCAAGTCCCATCTGCTCTTGTGATGGTGGGCCTACCTGAGTTTTGTCTGGTGGGAGGAGAGAGAGTGACCCATGCCCTGCCATTTTATAATTATCACTTGTCAAGAAGGTTTGCTGTTGTTTATCTTGGATGCCAGTACATAGAAAAAGAAGTGTCTGCCTTACAAGCTGTTTTTGCCACAGCTAGGAATGCTTAGCATATGGTACCTACTAGGCATGGGCAATCCATGGTTCTAAATGGTTCTAAAGTACTTAACAAAACTGTGGGGTGCCGGTGCTTTGCTTCTAAAGTATTTCTAAAGTTCTGGTGGTGAAAATTTCAGAACTCTTAACAAGACTTTCAAAATTTCATTATAAATGGCAGTTCTTAATTGGTTCTGTCACAAAAATTGCCAATAATGAAATTTCGAAACTTTTGTTAAGAGTTCTGAAACTTTTGTTAAGGCCACAGGGAGGAGGGAGCAAGCTTGTTTTCTGCTTCCTTGGAGACTAGGACGCGGAACAATGGCTTCAAACTACAAGAGAGGAGATTCCATCTGAACACGAGGAAGAACTTCCTGACTGTGAGAGCCGTTCAGCAGTGGAACTCTCTGCCCCGGAGTGTGGTGGAGGCTCCTTCTTTGGAAGCTTTTAAACAGAGGCTGGATGGCCATCTGTCAGGGGTGATTTGAATGCAATATTCCTGCTTCTTGGCAGGGGGTTGGACTGGATGGCCCATGAGGTCTCTTCCAACTCTTTGATTCTATGATTCTGAAATGTTCAGCACCAGAACTTTAGAAACACTTTAGAACAGTGGTTCTCAACTTGTGGGTCCCCAGGTGTTTTGGCCTACAACTCCCAGAAATCCCAGCCAGTTTACCAGCTGTTAGGATTTCTGGGAGTTGAAGGCCAAAATATCTGGGGACCCACAGGTTGAGAACCACTGCTTTAGAAGCAAAGCACAAGCTTTAGAAACAATTCAGAAGAAAAGCACCAGCGCCCCTTAGTTTTGCAAGTACTTTAGAACCATTTAGAACCATGGATTGCCCATGCCTAGTATCTACAAAACCCCTTTGAATGTAGTGTTGAAATGAATGGCCGCTGGGTACATTGTGCCACATTTGCTTAAGACCTCCCACTTCACCAAGTGTGTCTGCTCAGACTTAAAGAATGGGAATCATGCGGACTGCCAGAGGATAGTGGAGTGCATTTCCCAGCAGCCCTAGCTACCTGGTGAATGCTGGGAGCTGCTATCCAAAAATGTCCAGAGTGCGGCCTATTCTGAAGCAAGGGGATTTAGGATTGCAGCCTAAAGGTGTCAGGAGTAGGTCATGATTTCAGAAGAAGAAACCATTTACTTTTCTTCTGTAGCTTATAAAATGCCTTCATCCCATCTGAGTAGGGCAAGTGTGGACCTCTTGGTATTGTTGATTTGCAGCTTCTAGCATTCCTCACCATCGGCCTAGAGTTGATGGGACTTGCAGTCCAGCTATTAGAGGAGCGCACTCTCTTAATGAGGCTGGGGAATGAACAAGACCTAGTCCTTTGGGGTATTCACGTATAAATAGCCAAGAGGTTTGTAGTTTACGCTCCTGCCCCAAAACACACTCAAGCTAACTTTGTGCCATCCATCACATTTGGCGAGATGCGTGTTGTCATTTTTCAAGACTGTCAAAACTAGAGTTGTCATCATTTTGTGTTAAGAAAGCAAGAGGAGATTCCCAGGGCAAATAAACCTGGTACTGCCATCCTTGGCCTTTGACTTTTCTGGTTAAAAAACAAAACAGAGCCTAATAAAATGGCTGAAGTAACTCTTAAGGTGGAATGGACACATACGAAGAAGCCATGCTTTTGAGCATCTTTCTAGTTGTGGATTGCCAATACGCAGCAGGAAGTACTTCTTCATACAATGCGAGGTTCAGATATTATGCTGGACCTTATGTCATTGTAATGCACAAAGGTGCTCACATCTCATCATCATCATCACTTTATTTCTTAATTAGTCGCTCTCCACCAAAGTGCTCCGAGCGACTTACAATTTAAAATAGCTTATACACAATATAAAACATTCAATATAAACATCTAAAGGTAAATGTTTTCCCTGACATTAAGTCTAGTTGTGTCTGACTCCGGGTGGTGTTGCTCATCTCTATTTCTAAGCCGAAGAGCCAGCGTTATCCATGGATGCCTCCAGGGTCAAGTAGCCAGCATGACTGCATGGAGCACCATTACCTTCCTGCAGAAGCGGCACCTATTGATCTACTCACATTTGCATGTTTCTGAACTGCTTGGTAGGTAGGAGCTGGGGTTAGCAGCGGGAGCTCACCCCATTCCCCGGATTCAAACTGCCGACCTTTCGGTCAGCAAGTTCAGCAGTTTGTCCCACTGTGCCACCAGAGGGCCTTGTGCTCACATCTACGTACATAAAATACATAAACATGAGGAATATACTGAGAAGTTTACTTTCTGGGAGATGGAGGGTATGGTGGAAAAATACTCAATTTTTTCAGTATTTCTGAAAACTTATTTCAGCCCCAGTCATAGTTGTTGCTATTTAATTCCAAACCTGTCCAGGTTGTCATAAATTATAACTTCCCAAATCTCTCCCAAATAATGAGATCTGTTTGGCAAAAGGTGGAGGAAAAGGGAGATTTCTGTTTACAAGAACAGAATGCAGCCATGCCCTCTTAAAGGTCTGTGACAAAGGCCTTCTGTTTCTTCAAATGCATCAGGTGACTCTTATTCTGTTTTTGGAAAGATAACTTATTTGGTGTTCTCTGTGTGCTTGGAAGATACAGCTGTTTTTCCCCAGGAGAAAGGACAGGATCTCCCAATTAATGTCGATCTTTTCCCTTTAGGCTGAACACATAAAATATATATTCCTATCATCTTCTTTAAAGCAAAAACTACCAATCATTGACAAAAATATTCGACTGTGGAATTATTAAACTAGAAGCAATAGATATGGAGAAATAGTGAAAATAAACAGCTTGAGGTCCAAAAATGGAGAGAGAGAGAGATAGAGTTCAATGTAGGCTCGGCAAAACTATGGTGAGCCAGATCTGTAATTGGTTAAGTGAATGAACCTACAGGGTGATTCTCCCCAATGCTTCCTCCTCTTCATTCTAGAAAGAAATGGTAAGTGGAGTGCCACAAGCAGGGTTCCGCCCTAAGCCTGGTCCCTGTTCAGGATCTTCATTAATGACTTAGAGGAAGGGTTAGAAGGCAGGATCGTCATGTATGCAAATGGAACCAAACTGGGAGGCTGAGCCAATACCCCAGAAGACAGGAGCAGAATTCAAAGGGATCCTCACAGATGAGAGAGATGATTAGCCAAAACTAACAATGAAGTTCAAGAGGGACAAATGCAAGAGACTCCACTTAGGCAGAAAAAAATGAAATGCAAAGAGACAGAATGGGGGATGATCATGCCTGGCTTGAGAACAGGATGTGGGGAAAAGATGTTGGAGTTCTTGTGGGTAGGAAGGGGAACAGGAGCCAGGAATGTCATGCAGTGGCAAAAAAAAAAAAAAAAAGCCAATGGGATTTTGGCCTGCATCAAGAGGAGCCTAGTGCCTACATCCAGGGAAGTCCTGCTCCCCCTCTATTCTAGTCCGTCAATGATCTCCGTTTTACATTAGTCTTTGACTCAAGTCAAACCCAGAACACAATGGTTTGCTACCTGAGTACAAATATCTATGTCAAGAGGTGAAGACTCAAGATAATTTCAAAGAGGACAATTATTTGCTACATCAGCATTATATTCCTATAAAACACTCAATCTAATAATTCTCAAGTGTGACAGACCAGAGGAGTCTGGCTCACCCGCTATGCTCAGCTTCATTGGGAAGGAGAGAGATAGTGTACATATGGAGAGTGTCAGATCTGCTATGTGAAAGCAGGATTCTGTGTCGGATCACACCTGGAATCCCACTGTGTCCAATTCTTGGCACTGCAATTGAAGGGAGATGTTGACTCTAAGCTTGAATGTGTCCAGAGGAATAGGACCACTCAAAGGATCCAGGGTCTGGAGAACAAGCCCTATGAGGACAGAGAGGGTGAAAGAGCCGGGCATGTTTAGCCTGCAGAAGAGAAGGCTGAGCAAAGACAAGATGAAGGCCATGTATAAATATGTGAGGGGAAGTCACAGGGAAGAGGAGGAAGCAGGCTTGTTTTCTGCTGCCCTGGAGACTAGGATGCAATGAAACAATGGCTTCCAACTACAGGAAAGGAAGGAGATTCCACCTGAGCATTAGGAAGAACTTCCTCACTGTGAGAGTTGTTCAGCAGTGGAACTCTCTCTCTCTGCCCCAGAGTGTGGTGGTGGCTTCTTTGGAGGCTTTGAAGCAGAGGCTGGATGGCCATCTGTCGGGAATGCTTTGAATGCGATTTTCCTGCTTCTTGGCAGAATGGGGTTGGACTGGATGGCCCACCAGTTCTCTTCCAACTCTAGGATTTTAGAGAGTCTTAACTAAAAGAACAAAGACACATATTTATTTTCCTGTGTCTGATCTTTTGAAACTGCCATGTGTAAGATTATTTAAGTGCTGTTATTACTATAAACAATAAAACCATTGAATCTGAAAGTTCAGCTGACCAAGTGGGTGGGCACCAGGGAACTCCTTGCAGAAACAGACCTACAAATAACGACAATAACGATGCTAAGAAAATAACAGCAACTCCGCAAGTAAGAAGAGAAAGGGGTGAAGGAATCTGTTTCAAGGTTTCAAATTGACAATCAATGCTTCTCTTTCTTTTTTTGGCAACTCATTAGTGGGAGCAGAAAGAGCCCACAAGGAATCGATGGACTGCAGCCCACGCTGATCAACAATTTACTCCAAAGGCAGTCATCAAGCCTGAGTCACGCACATACACACAGGCACATCGCTTGATTTCTGATTATTCAACACATGATGACTCCCATTCAGATGCGTCAGCCCTCAGCATTGGAAAAGCACTATGTCCTAGCTGAAAAACAACTAACAACAGAGCCACATAGTGCATAAATACAGCATACAATACTTGCCAGGTGCGGAAGAAACAACCTTTTGCAACTTGTTTTTAAATGGCGAAATTGGAAAGCAAACCTGTTAACACGTTTGGTGGGTACGAGCAAGAGAAATCTCAAATTCAGATTCCAGGGGAATGAGTCTAACTTTTGCCCATTGAAATCCCATGGTTTTGCTCACTTTCCTGTTCTACAAAAGCCAATGGGAGTGGGGACATTTTGGGAGTTGTAGTCCCAAAGGTGCGGCATATTTGAGCAATGCATTTCCAACTAAGTACAGGCAGTTCCCAAGTTACAAACAAGAGAGGTTCTGTAGGATTTTTCATCAGCTGAATGTATATGGAAGTTGAAACAGGTACATTTTCAAGAGTAACTCTTTCCAAATATATCTGTATCCCATTTACCTTTTAGCTTGAATAGGGAAGGATGAACATAGAATCATAGAATTCTAGAGTTGGAAGATAGATGGATAGATACATGCTTTTGAACTGTGGTGTTGGAGGAAAGTTCTGAGAGTGGCTTGGACCGCCAGAAGATCCAACCAGTCCATACTTCAGGAAATAAAGCCCAACTTCTCATTGGAGGGAAGGACAGTAGAGGCCAAGATGAAGTACTTTGGCCACATCATGAGGAGACAGCAAAGCCTAGAGAAGACAATGATGCTGGGGAAAGTGGAAGGCAAAAGGAAGAGGGGCCTACCAAGGGCAAGATGGATGGATGGCATCCTTGAAGTGACTGGATTGGCCTTGAAGGAGCTGGAGGTGGTGACGGCCGACAGGGAGCTCTGGCGTGGGCTGGTACATGAGGTCATGAAGAGTTGGAAACAACTGAATGAATGAACAACAAGGGTTGGAATAGACCTCATGGGCCATCCAGTCCAACACCATTCTGCCAAGAAGCAGGAAAATCGCACTCAAAGCACCCCCGACAGATGGCCATTCAGCCTCTGTTTCAAAGCCTGCAGAGGAGGAGCCGCCTCCACACTCGGTCCCGGGCAGAGTTTTATTGCTGTACAGCTCTCTGTCACAGTCAGGAAGTTCGTCCTCATGTTCAGGTGGAATCTGATGTTTCCTTTGCTGCCTGTGCCCCTGTTCATAAGATTGCACTTCACTTTCTGTCCCAGTGAGAATGCGATTTTGAACAATCTGGCTTATGGAAACAAGCATTGGCAAGAAAGCTTCAGTGGGGATACCTTTTCCCTCGATAATAACTCCTCCAGGAAATGGTTTCCCATCCTAGTAGTAGATTCCTCTCACTTCTGGTTGTCTCAGCCCTGTTCTTAAGCACGAGTAGTTTGCAAGTCGGATGTTTGTAACTCGGGCATTGCCTACACAATTGATCAGCGTAATGGGCAAAAAACCCATGTTGCCAAGCTAATTCTGGGGGGGGGGGGGGGGGGGGTGTCCTCCAAATCTATTTTCCCAAAGGGTCCCTTTTCCATCCTGGTGCCCCCTAGTTTGGATGGCATCCGCCTTGCAAGTTGGATTCAACTTCATTGGCCACATAGGATGCTTTTGCTGCAGATTTCTGCTTTGTTTGGAGGTTGGGTGAGAGGGGATGGGGGCTCCCTTCAAACCCTTCCAATTCCTCCCATAAAGCTGAATGTTTGCAAGGAGGAAACCTACCTGGAAGCCTTTTTTATTGCTTACTTTCCATCAGATGGGGTGAGCTCCCTCTGTCAGCTCCATTTCCCATGCAGGGACATGAGAAAAACCTCCCACGGGATGGTAACACATCCACGCAAGGTCCCCTAGGCAACATCCTTGCAGACAGCCAATTCTTTCACACCAGAAGTTACTTGCAGTTTCTCAAGTTGCTTCTGACACCATTAAAAATAACCAGAAGCTAAACTTCAATAGAAAGCTTGCGTTTAATTGTACGGCAAAGACTGCCCTCTGGTGTAAATTTATGTTCCAAAGAACAACAAAGTAGAGAGGAAACCACTTCAGTTCCAATTAATGATCTCTTTTGCTCTGCTGCTTTGATTGCTTCATGTCAATGGGATTGATGGAGTTGTGGGTGTAATGCCGGGGGGGGGGGGGGGGGGAGAAGGATTTGTATGAGGAGTTCAGATTGTCCCAGACTGGAAGGTCAGCAGGACTCTTACTTACACTTACTTATTCTCTCTTTAAGATTTTTTTTTCATGTTAGGAGCGACTTGAGAAACTGTAAGTCACTTCTGGTTTGAGAGAATTGGCTGTCTTTGATGTTTTACCACCCTTGTGGGAGGCTTCTCTCATGTTCCTATATGGGGTGCCAAAGCTGACAGGGGAGCTTATCCGCACTCTCACCAGATTCAAAACGCCGATCTCTTGGTCAGCAGTCCTTCCGGCACATGGGATTAACGCATTGCGCTACTGGCGCCTCTGCACTTAAGGAATGATAGAATGTAAAAACTCTTGACATATCTCACTTTCCTCTTTTAAAAGAGATGGTTGTCCACGCTCTTTTTACATCCCGAATACACTACTGTGATGCACTCGACATGGGGCTGCCTTTGAAGACTGTTCAGAAGCTCCAAATAGTCCAATGTTTAGGTAATATACCGAATAAATATGTAATATATCTTTCTGAGGAATTGTGGGAGTTATTTATTTGTCGTGTCAGGACAACCAGTCAAATTATATTACATTTCTAACAGAACAAAGCAAACAAACAGACAAAATACAAAACTTGTGAGTTTGGTAGTAGATCAAATGTCCCTTGACCAGTATCTGGCCACTTGGAGTGCTTCTGGTGTTGCTGCAAGAAGGTCCTCCATTGTGCATGTGGCAGGGCTCAGGTTGCATTGCAGCAGGTGGTCAGTGGTTTGCTCCTCTCCACACTCGCATGTCAAGGATTCCACCTTGTAGCCCCATTTCCTAAGGTTGGCTCTGCATCTTGTGGTGCCAGAGCGCAGTCTGTTCAGCACCTTCCAAGTCGCCCAGTTCTGTGTGCCCAGGGGGGATTCTCTCATTAAGTATCAGCCATTGGTTGAGGTTTTAGGTTTCAGCCTGCCACTTTTGGACTCTTGCTTGCTGAGGTGTTCCAGCGAGTGCCTCTGTAGATCTTCCCGGTGGATGTCAGGTGGTGCAATACCGGCTAAGCAGTGTAATTTCTCCAGTGGTGTAGGGCGCAGACACCCCGTGATAATGCGGCATGTCTCATTAAGAGCCACATCCACTGTTTTAGTGTGGTGAGATGTGTTCCACACTGGGCATGCATAGTCAGCAGCTGAGTAGCACAGCGCATGGGCAGATGTCTTCACTGTGTCTGGTTGTGATCCCCAGGTTGTGCCAGTCAGCTTTCGTATGATATTGTTTCTAGCACCCACTTTTTGCTTGATGTTCAGGCAGTGCTTCTTGTAGATAAGAGCACGGTCCAGAGTGACTCCCAGGTATTTGGGTGCGCTGCAATGCTCCAGTGGGATTCCTTCCCAGGTGATCTTCAGAGCTCGGGATGCTTCTCTGTTCTTGAGATGAAAGGCACATGTCTTTTGGATGGGTTGGGGATCAGCTGGTTTTCCCTGTAATAGGCAGTAAGAGCACCTAGAGCTTCAGAAAGCTTCTGTTCTACCATCTCACAGCTCCCTGTTTGAGCAGTAATGGCACGATCATCAGCATAGATGAAGCTCTCTGTCCCTTCTAGCAGTGGCTGGTCATTTGTGTAGAGCCCTTGGTTCACATTACAGTCTGGAAAATGAAGACTGCCTGGAAGCTGCAATTACTCCAACACTCAGCAGCCAGGTTACTAAAAGGTGCGGGGTACAGGGAGCGTACAACTCCCTTGTTGCACCAGCTCCACTGGCTGCCAATTAGCTTCTGAGCACAATTCAAAGTGCTGGTTTTAACCTATAAAACCCTACGGTTCCGGCCCAGTTTACCTGTCCGAAAGTATTCTCCCCTATGAACCATTTGTCAGAATTATTGAAGGTATGCATGTATGTTTTTTCAATGTGATTAATATGTAATTCAAGATGGGTTAAAATATGAATTCAAGATGGATTCTGTCATGTTCAATTGTGTATTAGAATTGTTGTAAGAGACAGAGAGGCAGAGAAGATGAGACTTTGACAGAAGTCAGATAACAAATTTCTCTGGCTGGGAAGAAAAAGGGAGGATCCGGCCAGAGAAGCCTGATAATCAGATGTTCAGAAAACTGTATTGTCGAAGGCTTTCATGGCTGGAATCACTAGGTTCTTGTGGGTTTTTTCGGGCTATAGGGCCATGTTCTAGAGGCATTTCTCCTGACGGTTCGCCTGCATCTATTACAAGCATCCTCAGAGGTAGTGAGGTGTGTTGGAATTAGGACAATGGGTTTATATATCTGTGGAATGACGGGTGGGGCAAAGAGCTCTTCTCTGCTGGAGCTAGGTGTGAATGTTTCAACTGACCACCTTCATTAGCATTTGAAGGCCTGGCTGAGCCTGGAAATCTTTTGTTGAGAGGTGTTAAGATGTGCCTGGTTGTTTCCTCTCTGCTGTTTTGCCTGTTGTAATTTTAGAGTTTTTTAATACTGGTAGCCAGATTTTGTTCATTTTCATGGTTTCTTCCTTTCTGTTGAAATTATCCACATGCTTGTGGATTTTAATGGCTTCTCTGTGTAGTCTGACATGGTGGTTGTTGGAGTGGTCCAGCATTTCTGTGTTCTCAAATAATATGCTGTGTCCAGGCTGGTTCATCAGGTGCTCTGCTATGGCTGACTTCTCATTTGTGTAGATGTTGAACATGGATGGGCAAACACGCTCCCCTGAGGCAGGCCATTCTTCTGTTTTTTTCCATTTGCTTCTCTGGCCCTGGAGTTGAAGTCCACCAAAACACCTGCAGGGCCCAAGTTTGCCTATGCCCGCTGTAGAGAAAGCCACCTTCATTAGCATTTGAAGGCCTGCCTGAGCCTGGGAAAATCTTTTGTTGAGAGGTGTTAAGATGTGCCTGGTTGTTTCCTAACCTTGGTGATGGGCCCAGCACTCACTTAAGTTGCTGAGAGGGAAAAGGAAAGGGCCTGAGGCTGTGAGGAATTGTGGGAGTTGAAGTCCAAAACACCTGGAGGCCCAAGTTTGCCCAAGCCTGCATCAAACCTACCAAATGCGACACTAACCCCGGGGAGAGGGTTGACAGAAGGCAGGCCAGGCCAAGGAACGACCCCGGGCCGGAAACGAGAGCTGACTCGGTTTCCCACAAGGCACCGCTCCTTCCTGCTCTTCCCCCCTCCTGCCATGTTCCCCGTCTCGCGAGACTGTCCGGGAAGTGGGAGGAAGAGGCGGGCGGCGGAGGCGCCGAGGGAGGGAGGCAGGCAGGCCCGGGCGCGGCTCGGAAGCCCAGCAGCCGTCTCCGCCGCGGGGGCCGACGGGAAGCCGGGTAGGACAATGAAGAGGGAGGGAGTCCTGCGGGGTTGGCATGGAAACGGTTCGCTTGGGAGAGAGGGAGGAGGAGCGGGGCGGGGCCTGCAGGGGAGTTGCCATGGAGACGGGGGCGGGGCCTAGCGTCCTGTGGCTCCCCTGGAGAGTCCGAGGAAGGGCCGAAGTCTGGGGGCCTGGTTGCTAGGCTGGGCAAGGGCGGGGCTTGGGTTGACATGGAGGCGAGGGGAGGAGCTACCTGGTTGCTATGGAGAGAGGGGGCGTGGCCTTGGGATGTGGGCGGGGCTTGGCCTACCGTAGGGGCGAAGCCTGAGTCTTCAGTGTATTATGGAAACAGAGGGAAAGGGCAGGTAGGGTTGCTAGGTAGGGCAAGGGCGGGGCTTGGGTTGCTATGGAGGCAGGAGAAGGGGGGGGCGTCCTGGTCCTTCTATCCAAAATGGCCACCCTGCCCAGAAGGCCAAACCTAACTGAATTTCCCCCATTTTTAATTATTTATTTAAACCTTTATTTATTTATTTATTTAAACATCATACGAAAGCTGACTGGCACAACCTGGGGATCACAACCAGACACAGTGAAGACATCTGCCCTTGC